GCTGCGACGATCTCTCTGACAAAACTCCGAGAAAGCTCCGAGAAGATCCAGTTGGGGTGTGATTGATCTTTAAGGATGACCAAACACCAAGGATTTGGAGGTTTCAACCCCTCGAAATCTTCGGCCCCTGCAAAGGTGGTCCAAGGATTTTGAGGGGATGTGAAATGATGTGAACATCCGTCGGGGGAATCCCTGCTTTGTAGGCATCCCAGCAGTGGGTGTGCCGCGGCGACTCACATTGAACCATATGGAACCTGCTAGGCAAAACCCCAAAACATTTGCTGCCACGGCCGCTTTGGTACTTGGGAAAGATCTTCGCCAAGTCAAATCCGTGGATTCCCCTGCAAAAAGTGCAAGGTCGACGATCATCCTCAGTCGGATCTTCCCACACCTCAAACCTGCACGTGGAAATTGATGTGACATCCTTTCACATCCTTTCACTAGACTCTAGACGCTTCACAGCCAAAAGTGAACAAACCCTGAATGTGCAGCCCTTTTAAATCACTGGACTCCCATTCAAACTCGCCCCAGACGCCCCGCCACGCCCCGCCCCCAAGAAGTGCACCTCATCTCCAGCGCAAAGGTGTCGGGGTTTTGGAGCCGTTTCTCGTGCAGCTCGCGCATCATCTTCAGACGCACCTCAACGGATCGGACCGGCACCAAGCAGCTCGGAGCTCGGAGCTCGGTGGGTCTGGGTCTGGGCGGTGGTTTCGACGAACGACGGAAAGCAACACGAGGGCGTTCGCGAAGGTCCAAGGTGGTGAAAAAATGTTTTCATGTCCTTAAACAAAGCCCCCGCCCACAACCACCACCCACATCACTCGACGTTTAGCTTGCTTAACTCGACGGTTTTTCGTCCTGAAAGATCCTGACTGGTTTAGCTCACGGGTCTTTTTATCCCATGACGTCAACACATGGATTGGATGATGTACTTTGAACGGTTCCAAAAACGATCGACGAAAAGATCTGCCATGGAAACAATGTTTGTCAATTCTACCCGGAGTGTCAAAGTACCTCAGAAAATGGGTGCAAGATAGTGCAAGATGGTGCAAGTACGGTACCTGTTTTTACATGTTTTTACAGGGTCATGTCCCATTTCCAAAATACTTTGGAGGGGTCCAGGTAGCGTGAACTATCCAACACCCACTCCTTTCTTGACTCAGTCATCCGTTCGGCCTCAGTATTTTGCCCAACTGACCTTTCACCCACCGATGGAGCCCTGGAACAAACCATGTTGACCACGCATCCCCACATATCCCAACACGTCAGCATCCAACCTGGGTACCCTCTGAGTGTCCGTCCCGCTCGGTCCCGGCACCCGCCCGCCAGGGACCCGCAGGACCTCCCCTCCGACCGCGTCGGGCGTCCTGCGGGCCTCGAATTGCGGCAAGGTCCAAATCGAGAGGCTCTCGACCTCCCGGCTCCGCGCGCGGAGGCTTTCAGCAGCGCGAAGGGTCCGTGGTGGTCTATATAAGAAGAGGCAAAGAAGAAAAGAGGCGAACGGTCCGTGGTGACTTGAGATCGAAGCCTCGAAGCCTTGCAGAGAAAGGGGGTCTCAAAGCCCGAAGGAAGTCTCAAAGACTGATCAAAAAAAAGAAACAGCAGTTCTTCTGTTTCTAGGTCGTCATCGGATCTCACATGTCCGATTTTAAACCAACCCCTATATGCTTTGAAAATATTTGATAGGTGTACGTACTGTTCCTAAAATCCTGACTTCCACCATACATGTCAATTGCCTCCGACGTTCTGGATCGCTTGATGAGTCTGACACACAAATCAGGAATTGCAAAGTTGTCCTCGGTCGCAAGGCGTGGATCTTGTTTTGCTGGTCACCTGGGGTTGACCCCACGAACTCTGATGGCAATAACCTGCCAAATACGCCACAGCACGCCACAGCTAAGGGTGTTTCATGACCACATGCCGCAGCTGAACCTCTGACTCTCTATCCAACCAAACACACATGGATGATCATAGATGGCGGTGTCCATGTGTCTCCATGTGACCCTGGAAGGGGGTGAATCCACTGGTTAGAAAGCGCCCAGCAGCTCCATATCCATAAAGCATCACCGGAGCAATGGAGGAGAGCTCCAGCTTCAAATTGGAGAGTGGCTTCAATGCGTCAGTGAGAGCATTCGCCTGCCATGCTAAAGATTGGGACACTTCGCATGCTGAAGCTATGGAGACGCGTGAGCCCCTAAAATCATGCGTCCCAAAATCGTTATCACCAAGCAAGCATGTGTATATGCAAATGTAAGTGTCACGAGGTGTTGCCACCTATGCCCGCGAGCCATTTTCCAGTTTTCCAAGCACGGCTTGCTCTTCGGGATGTTCATACAGGTTCTTTGTTTGCCAGGATTCCCGCAAGAGGAAGCCTCAAACCTCCGGAAGCACTGAGAGATGATTCAGTGCACCAAGGTGCAATTTCGAGTTGACAACCCAGCTCTCTTGACTCTCAACATCTCTCAACATATAAGTACCAGTGTTCTCTCACTGCTTTGGGGAATCAACATTGTTTAAAAACAAAAAAGATCCAAAAAGGTCAAAGGTTTATCACTGAAGCGCACTTCTTTTGTTTCGATGAAATCGCTTCTTGGGTTCTAAGAATGTTCATCTCAAAAAGAATCGCCACCCACCAAGACTCTCGACTCCAATATCTTCCTCCGTGGTGTCCGACCACCCCAAACACATCCAAACACCCACCCACCCCATGACCGAGCGCCGGGCCTCGGACACCAAGCGTGCGGCACGTTGGGCCGACCGTAAGAACTGGTCCAGCGATTGAAAGCCAGCGGAGTCCAAGTTCTGACCCTGTAAGACGGACATGTAGTGCAAGGCCACCTGGGTCGTCTCCGGACGCTCCGAAGCCGCGGGCTCGCCGAAGCCGCGGGCTCCGTTTCTGCCAAAGAAAAGAACAACACCAAGAAGTCGGACCCCATGAGTTGGGGATGTGATATTTTAGTGAGACCTTAGTGGGGGGAAGCTCCAAACTTATGGATTCTCGATGTTCTTTCGCAACGAACGCAACACGCATCGCCAGGCCTGCAGCTGATGCGAGGAGTCGGACTCCAAGATCTCTTGCATCATCTTGCTCCGCTCCTTTGGGCCCAAACTCCACCAGGTGGGCAACTTCTGCACGCGCGAGGCACCGCTTCCGACACCACCGGTCGCGAAGCCGCTCGTCTCCAAGCTCACGAAGAAACAGACGGAGCTGCCCAGCACCAGAAAGTCCCCATGAAAGAGTTCTCGTCGCTCGTCGCCGCGCAACCTCGTATGATTCACTTCCACAACCGTGCCTCCGGACATCGCCGGGCGCAGGAAGAGTCGGTCCTCCTCCAGCCAGAGAAAGGCACACTGGGGAGAAATCCCGTTGCTGCGCGGAAGAACAAAGTGACACTCAGGTGCACATCCCAGGCAGTACTCCAAGCCCTTTTCCATGATGGGAAAAAAGCTCTGGCCGCTCGTGTCGGGATCATCGGAGTAACTTGCAAGATGAGGACAACTGGGTCGCCTTTCACGCAGATCCTGACTTGGGCCACTGGAGGAGGACCACGAGTGATGCTCCTTCGGGGATGGGGACGAGTGCTCCCGCGCGGCCACACGAAACTTGGCCAATCCAAGCCTCTTCAATGCCGAATTGCATTGTTCTCTGAGCTGATGGTTCTCTTCAATCTTTTGCTGCCAACTTTCCCGGTACGTCTCCAGCAAGCCATTGGCCACTTCAAGTCGGCTTGAGAGCTCTAGAGAATTGTCGGCGGCCAATTTCTCGCGCAGCTCGTGCAGTTCAGCCTGAAGACCACTAATTAAAGAGTCTTTGTCGATGCGTGTGGCTGGCTTGGCAAAAACCTTGACATTCTTGAGGCTCGCAGCAAAATTCAGGGTTGTGTAGCTCTCCTCTGCATTTGCTTTGGCAGGGCTCAAGGTACAAATCACCGAGGTTTTGGAATTCCCACTCAGCGCTTTGGCCAACAGAAGCGTCAGTTTCGAGTTGCGAAACCTCGCGGTGCTCTCCGCGCCTTTACTGCCCCTCCGATCATCCGAGTCTTCGGAGATGGTACTGGAACGACTGGACATCTTGGAGCGATCGATGCTCGTCCTTTTCTCCACCTTGGAATGTGCTGTTTTGGAACGGACAAAAAGTATCAAAAAATCCCGACCTGACCCCTAAGAGTCCAAGAAACCATGGTTTTAATATGTTTTGATATGTTTGAATGGTCTGAATCCCAATAAACCCTCTGTTTGTTCATTTTATTACTAAGCTTAGGATATTTACACTAATACATGTTTAATTCGTTTAATATTTTGATATATGATTTGGTCTTTGAAGGCTAGGGTTACCCCCGGGCCCAGTAGGCCCAAACCATCCAAAACACGCTCGTGGGGGTTTTGACACCATTCGCGACTGTCGCAACAGTTGCAAATCGGAAGAACCTTTATCCGTTGGTTTAATCCTCAGTTGACCAACCAAAAGTTGTACCTCTTGGATTTGGTATCCTACTACAGTGACACAAGCAAGTTCATGCTCTGCCATGTCTGTGGTAGGCGACCAGCAAATCTATGCAAATGTCCGTATTCCATGTGTGAGGCTTCTCTATGGAGCAGACTCTTAGAACTGCACGGTTGCCTCTTAGAACTGATCCGTTCGGGTTCGACCATCTGTTAGGCCTTCGAATCTGATGACGACCTGCGACCCGGTCGCAGAGTGACCGGACCGAAGGTCCATGTTTGAGACAAAAGGTGACATGCGAACGATGAAGACTCATCATGTTCCAGGGGGGTTCCAGGGACTTCCAGGGACTTCCGAACGATGTGTTGGTAGTTTTTCGTCTGCCTGGAGGGCCGCAGTCCCAGCCAGAAACAAATGGATGGGAAGCCAGTCCCAGCCACTTCCCGAATCTGACACTGCCGTATGCGTCCTAAGGTGTCTGGTTGCGACAAAAAGGCCCTCCAGGTGTGTCTTTCCTTTCGAAAAAAGAGGGGAAATAAGACTCACCCTTCCGCGCTCAAGACCAGGCCACTTGGCCCTTGTCACGCTTCACCACGCGACTGCCCTCGTTGGAGTCCGCACTTCCGCGCGGTCCAGTCAACGCGGTCCGCGCCAGCTCCAGGCTGTTCAGTCGGCTCGTCCGACGTGTGCGTTCACCGCCCAAGGCATAGATGCATTGGGAAAGCCACATCAAACTCCGGTTGATGAAGCTCAGTTCCACCAGTCGATCGCCCGAGACCTTGGTGCTGCGCTCATTCTCGCGCCCCGCCAAGTCCACGAAGTACACCTGGCTCCGGGCCGTCCGCACGGTCCGCACAAATTGAGAATGAACAGCACATTGTGAGTCCTTTTCTACCGCACCAACCTGAGTGTCTACGGTAGAGCTACAATACGTAGCTGGGAGAGATGGAACAGCTGAACAAGGAGGCACTCAGTTGAGGAGGCACTAACTCGTTGGCGGCGTACAACTAGTCAACCCACGTCGCTGAGTCGACTATAGTACCTAGTACCTATAGTAGTTGGTATGAGCTCATGACGCGAGTTAAGAACCCACACCGAAAAAGGCCAGGCACCTCGGAGGTCATCACCGTGTTGTCACTGCCGTGCTTCTCCACACTCAGCTTGTACACCGTGTGGCCCCGTGAGGAGCGCGCGTTCATGGCCGTAGGCGCCACCGTCTGCCGGTTGCTGGCCTCGTCGATGAGCTTGAGACAAGCCTCCAAGGAGTGCACCGGCTGATCAAGCACATGTTTCAAGTAGACACCCAGCTGCGGATGCACATGCACTTCTGGAGTCGGAGAAGTCGGAACCGGAGTCTCCGTGAGCAAGTCGCGCACCTTCTCATTGTGAACCTCAACAATTTGCACTCGACATTGCGCATGATTTCCCTGATCTGCCAAGACCTTGACCTGTTGAAAGAGGTCCGCAACCAAGCGCAAGAGAAGCCCCTGCTCTGAGCTCGGCTTGGACTTCCCCAGGATCGTCGTCGTCTTTCCGGTGCCCGTTTGACCGTAGCAGAACAAGCAGGTGCTGTAGCCTTGTAGCGCATGTTCCACCATCTTTTCCGCCATGAGTTGGTAACATCTCTCCTGACTCACAAAGTCCACTGACCTTGCATTGGTACTGTCCATCACGTAGTCAAAGGCGAACTCCTTCGGCGCTTTGCCTACAAAAACAACGCGACATGGGAGAAGAAACGACCTCACGAAATCCAAAGGAGGACATGGCTATGGCTCACAAAACCCCCTGGTCAATGGAAAAACGACTACGCTTCTTTTCACAGAACATCCACGAGGATATTGGAGAGCGGATGGATGGCCACTCTCATGGGTTGGACATGGTTGGACAGTGAGCACGTTGCATTTTCCAACTTCGAGCAGTGGGGTTGTGAAACAACCAAGCCACCTCGGGACCAGGGGGTTGGATGTGTTAGTGTAACACGAGATCAACGGCTTCGTCACGAAGCCACACATTTAAAACATGCTTGCAAGAATGCTTGACAAGGGGTTAATGCGCAGCACTCTACATATATATATAATGAGCGAGTCGTTTAAAGTTTAAAGTGCCACTGTTTTGAATTCTCGGAGATTTGAGATCTCTAGCGTCGGCACAATCGGCCCACAGCTGCGTGGTCACGAAGATCTTCTCACTTTGTGACAAAACTATTTTATGTTGCTGCTTCCGGATACCTTGAGGTTTGCCAAGCACGGTCTAGCAGGGGTCAACCTTCTTCCTTGGAGCTTCCACTTCAGATTGTTGCATCTTTCGCACTGACCCACCTCGTTGCGAGGATGGCCACTGACGGAAAAAAAAAAATAAGCACCCGGTCAGCACGCCGGAAGACCTCTGGCTGCGCGAGCGTGCATGTCACATGCTCTTTCTGTAAGCATCTCTCCACAGAAAACGCACATCAAAGCTGTCGCCTCGGTCTCCCCCAGGGCCGAACATCAGCAAAACGAGTCCAAAAAAGCGAAGAGGCTGCTAAACGAGTCCGCCGCAAGCGCAACTTCGGCTATTTCAACGTCGTGCTGTTGGTCATCACAACATATGTGACAACTTGGCCCCACCATTTTGAGTTTTGATGCATGATGCAGCATCATCTTTCTTAGTAGCAGCTGAACAGTGATTCACACGCAAAACCCTCACCGTCGCTAACGACGCCGTGAGCACAAACAAGCCTTAATGCCGATCCCATTGCCAAAAAGTGTCATTGAACATTGGTTGGAATGTTCCTCAACGGTTTACATCTTGTGGATGTTTATAAATTCATAAGTTAATCTATTGTACAAACTACAAAGAACTAGAGCACTACGTGATGCGGCCAATTCTTTCCAGTGTCCCAACGATGTCCCCAAGCTCCAAGGTCTCTCAAGAATCCACCCGAGAGCCCCCAAAACCTTCCTTGAAAAAGGTCGCAACCTTTCAGTCTCCGTCAATCTCCCGCCTCCATCGTCGATCATGATGACATTATCACCTCGTTCGATCAAAAAAGCCGCGGAACGTCCACCCCCCCAACGGTCGGACCGGCCCAGTGCCTTCCAAACGACTTCGCCGGAACGACACGTCACTTGGTTCGACGCCGGTGCAGCGGTGGGGATGCTCCCATGGATCATGAGCGTGGAAACGGGATCGAAAGTGCTAACATGTTCAAATCAGGTCGAACACCTGGTCGATCTACGGAAAGCTCTTTTTGAGGGCTGCAGATTAGATGTTCTTGAGAGGTGGCCTACATCATACCAGGGTGTTTGCTCCGAAAAAGTAATTGCAAAAGTTGTCCTTGGCAAATGGAGCCAGGAATTGAGTCTCCAGAAGCTGAATAGTCAAGAAGAATAACTTATTATAGGTATATTCTGTTCAGAGTTGATGCATTGAAACCGAACTGTTCAACGTGATTTTCACCTCAGTTTCAACATGGTTCCACCATGTTCAACCATCCTCACAGGCCAGTCACGGACTTTCAAACAGTGTGATTGGCCCGCTTCGCAGGGCACCAGTGGTCGCAAACGCACGCCGATTCGAATAGCTTCACTCGGATCCATGATCGCACATAAGCAGCTCGCAGCTCTGCTGTCTTATTCGACATGATTGATCATTCTGGCCAAATAAGGCGCAATAGCACTTTATGGACTCATGGACTATAGCATGGACTATTAGATGCTCCCCGATGACTACCAAGGAGCTCCTCCGTGTCTGTGACCACTATTTTGTACGGCTTCTGAAAGTCATGGATCGCCAAAGGCACATCTGCTCACTTCTCTACCATGAGATATCAGGCGCTCATGCCATTCGTATTCTTTTAGTGTATCAAAGCGTTTTTGGCAATTCATACTCCCTCAAAGCATGAAACATGTTTGCATAAATGGATTTGATCTTGGATTGCTGCGGATGCCCACTCAAACATACACCAGCTGTCCGCTCCCATTCGATTAAGAATTAAGACCGACCTTCTTTCATGAACAGAAGGATTTTGCTACATTTGATCAGCTAAGTCACACCAGCAACACCTAGCTGCTTGAAGATCTCTACATGCTCTTGCTTGACTCAGGCACCTTTTGGCTTTCAAGCCTGAAGCTTCTCTCGATGGCTTCATGGGCAGCTTGCACAGCACGCGCAAGGTCTGGATCCTGTGAGAGGTGCTGCAGCTGGTTGCGCAGCTGGCTGCTGAAAGACGCACTTCTTGTCTGCTCGCAAAGCAGTGCTAAAAGCTCCAAAGCCGCCAGTTTCATCTCTTTTGCTGGATCTCGCAGGAGTTTCAGCAATGGGTGTAGCACAAGACCCAGCTGATTCTTCACATCCTCAATGCTTCCCACGTCATGTGCCTCCAAGTCATCTGTCCTCATCTCTTCAGACATCGCCGAAAGAAAATGAAGCAAGTTGCGAAGTCCAATGGCCGCAGCCATGCGAACTGGCCAGTCCACATCTTCTAAACGCACCGAGATCATCTCAAAAGCTCGTGCCACTGTGGCGCCAGTGCCTCCTTGTGCGAGCCAGGCCACGGCATCGATCGCAGCCCAGCGCACGGGCCACGCGCGGTCGGCGAAGCCTGATGGCTGAGGGAGGTTTCAAAGGCTGAATCGTCCGAAGGGGATTCACCCACTGCCCAGACGCTCCGTGAAACCAGCCCGACTGGTCCCTCCAAACCTAGAGAATTGAGACCCCAGACCCCTCCATATGAGGGCCCATCAGCGTCTGGGTGAGAGAAAATTCATAAAATATCAAGAATCGCCAAATATCTCGTCTGCCAAAATGTGCTGTCAAGTAGAGGACGTGACATGATTCAGCAAGGTAATCGCTGCTATTGAAGGGGGCCTATCGCTTTTGCAGGTTTTAGCCACAATGTCAACAGAACTGATCACATCCAAAAAGTGCGGAAATATGATCTGGTTTTCGCGCATGTTATCGCTTTTGAGGGGGGCCTATCGCTTTCGCAGGTCTGGCCAAGTTCCTGAACATCCCGACCGCTCAAGTCACGAACTTGGTCATTGCACGTTTTGCTCAAATCACCCCAACAGAGCTTGAAGAACCCTACTATCCCATAGGTACCCCAGGTGACGGGAGTCTCTCTTTACGGTCACTTCCTTCGCCTCAAATGCCCCAAGTCCTCCGCCACTCTCTTGCGCGCCGGGCCACGCTCCGCGGCGCGCTGCAGCGCCGAGGCATCGCCGGGAGCGGCCAGATGCGCCAGGGTGCGCAGAGCCACGCGGCGCACGTCCACGCAGGGGTCCTGCCGTCGTGGGCGGAGGGGGCCGTGCCCCGGAGGAACACCGTGTGCCGTGGCGTGCCCGGGCGGGGGGATTGACGGCTCCAAAGAGATGGGGGGCTCACTCAAGACGTCTCAAAAACAATGCCAAACCCTATATGGATTGGGTCTATATTTATATATATATATATCCTAATACGAGTGCACCATGGGGCCTGGTTGGCCGAAATCTCTCAAACATGCTCCCTTTTGCCTCGTACATTAGTCCCGACCCTTGTAGGTGTAAGTCCCGGAGAGACGTCAACCTGTTGCCTATGGGAACCCTGTGGCCTGATCGATCCATGCGACACCCGCCCCTCTAGGGCCCGGGACTGGGGGGCTGACTGCTGGGGTGAAGAGGTAGGGCAGGGGCCGACGGACGATGAATTCCCTGCAAGTCCAAGACTATGTTTAAAACGGTTGAGCTGTGTTCGTAGTGTAAAAGCCTTAGTAAAACAATGGTGGTTCGGTAAAAGATTTATTAAAAACAAGCTCACAAGTGGTTCGAAGGTGAGGGAATCAAACCCTTGTTCCCAATTTTTTGGGGTTCCCAAGTTGCTTGGTCTTTGGTGAAAGGACATCTCCTCCAAGCTCTTCAAAGCAGCTGCCATGGCTGCATCAGCACTCTCTCTGTCCTCCTGTTGAGAGGCATCTCAAATGGTCAAGTATAGGCGAGCAATTCCAAAAGCAACGTCCTGTGTCGAAAGTTGGGCCATCCAAATGAGTTCGAACCTTCCGCTCTGTCCTCTGCTCGGCTTGTGGCGAGTGCAGAAACGGCCTCAGTCAAACATCGTGCAGCTCAAGCCATCAAATCAATCCTCAAGCCTAGGCTGAGAGCATGGCAGCAGCCCTGACTTGTGCATCTTCGCTTGCCAAACGATTGCAGCAGCCACTCAGCAAACGTGGTCCTGCCTGCAATCGCAGCAACAACATCCTCGAAAGCAGAAAACACAACTCTTTGGGGTGACAACACATGTACCTGTCCACGATATAATCGTTCTTCATTCCAAACACGAGTACTGGCAGGATGCTAAATCAGACGAAAAAACAAAGAAATGCTGGTGATGGCACGCTCCATAACCAGCACTGTTAGCATTGCAAATTCATGCAAATTCAATGTTTGTCGAACCATGTGGAAGAATCAACAGCAACGAACAATGGCATTCTGGTTCATGAGTCATGAGGATTAAATCCTCACTCGGTTCCATGAATTGACACATCTTTTCCAATATGTTTTCTGTTACACTAGTTCCCTTCTTGCAATTCAACATGATGAAAACTGGAATCTATTGGCAAAAACGGTATCTTGAGCGATATTGGCACCCATTGTACTTTCCTGTGTCTTGCCAAAACCACACCATGCGTCACACCAAATCTTTTTGCACGACCAACGTGGTCACTCTTCACCTTGTCTCTCCAAGCTTGATTGCACGCCCGGAGCACCAGCAATTGCCTGCGAACGCTCAGATTCAACCAAAACGGCACAAGCAAACGCGCGTAACTTGATCAGAACCAATACTTTACTTGCTGGAAGTGACATGGTCCGTGGAAAACCCCGAAAATGGTCTTCCAATGGGCCATTGGCCTCTTCCATTTTAGTTCCACAATTGTAACAGCCAAGGATTTGATCATGCGCTAATCACTCGCCGCTGATTTTGGGCTCGCACTGGAACGAAGGGTGAAACTGCGTGTCCGCAGAAAAACACCAGGTGAGAATACGCACCAATGGAAGAATTACCTCAAACATTGACCCAGAATTCCAACCTCCTGATAAGTCTCATCAAAAGAACATCAATCCTTCATCTGTCTTGTCTTGTCTTCATCTAATATTTTTTGTGAATGATCACTCTTTGGATTGCAGTCTCTTCCCCGGTCGGCTCGTTGGCAGAGGAGTGCGCTCGGCGGCGAGCCAGTCCTGGCGGTTTGGATGTAGCGGATCAAACGTTTGTTGGTCACTGCAGGGTGATCTGATCTTCACGGCCCGGCCCGGCAGCACTGCAGTTCTCCTTCGAACTCCGAAGTCATGTGAGATCCACTGTTCTTTCCCGATCGCACGAAAAAAAAAGGCCTGGGAGGCCCTCGGCGACTCGGCCCTCGGCCCAATGATTCTCTCATAGACATCTTCGATTCTCCACGAGCGTTGCTGTAACTGTTTGCTCTCTCCATGGTTTCGTGGGAGCGATGCCCGGACCCAGACGTCGGGGTCTTCCGGACAAGTCGGTAGGTCCCCGGGTAGGTCGCGAAAACCACCTGCCGGCAGGACCGTTGGTGTACCGCTGTATAGTATTTTTCTGGTAACCCCCCTTTCGGTCACCCTGGGTCAGACTTCGAGACGCAGCGCTTTCCGTCGGTCGTCATGGAGTTTGTGTTGCTCGATGATGCAAGTGATGCTTTTCACAGGTGCAGCTTGCATCGTTTGCATCACCAACTACCAACTCACCTTAAATTATCTTCGCCAAAAAGTAAAAGCACCTGCCAGCTAAGCGATTTCGGCACACATAAGTCGCATCTGACGATGCCCCCTGATTTTCACTTCATTCGCATAAACCAACTTCAGCCCAGCTTATCGGCTGGCTTTCGTAACATTGATTTGTTTCCTGCTATGGAGTCTCTGACGCACCATGCACGATGCGGATGTCCGCGATCTGGCGGTCTGCCCTGCCTTCTTCATGATCCAATAGACCACGCTGAGAGGCAGGTAGAATTGGCCATACACAATGATTTCCTGCAAGTGCAAGACATCAATCAAACTTCGGATCAAACTGAGCGTCTACGGCCAAGAGAAAACCCTTCGTGCACACATTCGGTTCTCTGACCTCCGCACGTTTAACGAACCCCTGTCCAGTCCGACAAGGCCTCATGGCTACAGTATTTATTGGCTCATGTAAAATTACTGAATCATGTCTTGGGGGTGTTGGCCACTGCTCATCCGGCTCCCGCCTCACCCAGGGACTCTGAGATGAGATGGTTCATCAGTGACACCAAGATCAAACAAAGCAAAGAGCAGCACATCACCTAAGTAGCAAAAATAACGACCAGGACTGAGCAGGACTGGCTGGCCGCATACAAAGCGCGGTGCCGGCGGGTGCCGGCGGTGCCTTCAAACCAATTTTGACCTCTCCACTTCAACAAGCAAAGGCAATGTGTTGAACACCCAAACCATCCCAAACCTCCCAACCCACCCGATCAGGTCTGACTGGCCCGTCTTAGGGTGACCCTGGTACTGCCTGGTACGTCCAAACCCGCCTGCCACGTGGCCCGCGACGACGCTTCGGATCCGACGACGCCCGCGGTTCGGCCGTAAGGAGCGGACGAGGAACAGGTAAACCTCGGGCCGCGCCGCGGCCGCGCCGCGGTCGCGCCGCGGGGAGGACCGATGTGAAAACCAAGGAAGGTGGACCTGTGCGACCTCAGGGACCTGTTCGAGCAGATGAATCAAATTTCATATACCTCCTTCGGAAGACATGGATTGAACAACCTCTTCAGGATTCTTCAGGCCTGGGGGGGTGTATCAATCAAGAGATCGACCTCCGGCACGAAATCGGTAATTCTTGGACTCAATCTGGGCGATCATCTTCAGTTTGGTTTTGCCACTTTGGACTCTTCTTTCATCCCATGTTCTTCCCACCTCTTCCGGATCGTCCATTTCATCACCGCCCACACACCGCCTCCCCCAACACTGGCTTCCAACACCGGTCACACTCTCAAAGCGCCCGGACTGGCAGGACCAACTTCACCGCCTCCCACAGCTCCTCTGCAAAGAGCTTTGGTCCGTAATGCCTCGGTCTCCACACGGTCCGAACACGTCTGCGGACAGCGCCAGGGACCCCAACAGCGCAGCGCAGCTTGGCGCACAGCGCAGCCACCAGCCCAGCGATCGACAGGTGGGGACAAACCAACGAAGCGCCGGCGTCGGGGGAAAGCGTCGACAGCAAACCGTGGAACGGAAGACGGGGACATGGTTGTCTCTCACCTCCAAGACAATAAGAAACGTCATCTGAGGGATAGGCGGGAGGGCAGGGGCCAAATGGGGCCCGGTGACTTGGGGAAACACCGGTGACCTTGCAGCTCCAGGAACCTCCCGTGTGATTTCCACCATGAGCACAGACGGCCGGTTCACGCGAGCTTTCGAAGCTTTCTCCGCCATGGGATGTTGCGGATGTCCACTCTTTTTGTACGTACCACTGTCGTTCTTCGCCATGGGTTAGAAGGAAGATTCGGGGATCCTTTCTCTCCTTTTTGGCGTCGCAGTCACCGACTCGGCCAACAGACTCGGAAACTGTGCAGTTTCCAAAGACCCCAAACTGGACACAATGCGTTCGGGGTCGCCAACCTTATTATGTAGATGATCTTTTTTCCCGAAAGCATTGCGAAGGATTCTTCCGGAAAATCTCTTGAACACTGACACTTCTACACTTACACTTGAACACTTACGCTTCCACACTTACACTTGAACACTTACACTTCTATACGCACAATGGCACAGAAGTATCCAAGTGTGTACGTGCGAGTATCTCAGTGTAAGTGTAAGAGTGAAAGCATCCAAGGGCAAGTATGCAAGTGTCAGTGTAAGTATCTAAGTGCAAAAGTATGCAAGTGTAATGTAAGTATCCCAGTGCAATCCCAGTGCAAGTATGCAAGTGTGAGTATTGAAAACTTTCACGGGAGATGCCCTAATGAAAAGCATTTCCCACTTTATAAAGTCTCTTTTAAAGGCGGAGGGTGGGACGAACAGCGTCAACCGAAAATGCAACCCTCTGCGGAGATCGTGCGTGTCGAGGGAACGAAATGCAGGCGAGAGTGCGATTTGTCCAGTCCGCGCGCAACCCTCTGCGGAGATCGCGCGTGTCGAGTGCGCGAAATGCAGGCGAGAGTGCGATTTGTCCCTGCGCGCGCAACCCTCTGCGGAGATCGTGCGCGTCGAGTGCGCGAAATGCAGGCGAGAGTGCGATTTGTCCGGTGCGCGCGCAACCCTCTGCGGAGATCGTGCGGGTCGAGCGCGCGAAATGCAGGCAAGAGTGCGATTTGTTCCCTGTGCGCGCAACCCTCTGCGGAGATCGTGCGTGTCGAGTGCGCGAATCTGCGGAGATCGTGCGGGTCGAGCGCGCGAAATGCAGGCGAGAGTGCGACTTGTCCGGTGCGCGCGCAACCATCTGCGAAGATCGTGCGTGTCGAGTGCGCGAAATGCAGACGAGAGGGCGTATCTGGGGAGCTGGAAGCTGAGAACTGGCGACTTGGTAGTACAACTTGAGTACGCGGAGTATCTGGGGAGCTGGAAGATGAGAACTGGCGACTTTGTAGTACAACTGTAGTACGCGGAGTAGCCGGGGAGCTGGAAGATGAGACCTGGCGACTCTGTAGTACAACTGGAGGATGCGGAGTCGCGGAGTAGCTGGGGAGCTGGAAGAGGAGAACTGGCGACTTGGTAGTACAACTGGAGTACGCGGAGTAGCTGGGGAGCTGGAAGATGAGAACTGGCGACTCTGCAGTGCAACTCTAGTACGTGGAGTACCTGGGGACCTGGAAGATGAGAACTAGTGACCTGGTAGTGCAAGTTTAGTACGCGGAGATCTGGGGAGCTGGAAGATGAGAACTGGCGACTGTGTAGGACTGGGGGGGTTGGGAGGCCTGCGCGCTACTTGGTTCACTATATCTAGTGAAGACCTTCACCATTTCCCCTTACCAGCAGCAGACATACACTCTGACACTGGTTTTCAGTTAAACTCAATTTCTCCGATGGGAAGGAAAGGTGATGGAACTGCATGGTGGAGAGTCTGAAAGACTTGTAGGTGTTTCAACAGGTTGTTGGTCAGTCTGCAGAACGATCGGTCGGCGCGGCTCAGCTGCAGGACAACGCGGCAAAAGGAGGGTTTAGGGGAAGTACCATGCAAACGACCATGAATCAAAAAGAGGAAAATTGGAGTAACAGCTTGTGGAGAAAACGAGCAGGTACGCAGGGCTGATCAGGCCCCGCTTCCCACTCTCGCCCCCAGCTTCGTTGCGTGTGGTAGGGCGAGAGTGCCACACGCCCCTGCCTGTGTAAAGTGGAACGAGTGGTGGTGAAAGACCCTTTGTCCAGGGTTGGACACACACAGATCGCCGCATTCGGCGCTTTTTCAAAAACCGGTGGCAGGCGTGGTAATTATGCCCCTTTTGGACATAAAGGTTCACGAGTTCAGCCGCAGCAGCTTCAGCGCTGGAGGGTGGAAATGTGTATTTTCGAATGGTGTGGAGTCGTGATTGGAGGCCTGATAGAGCCAAGCGCTGGCTCCCGGCGGTTGTGGAATCCCGGATTTTCCAGGGTTGAGAAGGTTGCATGTAGGTGATAGTGCGTTGTGGGAGGTCGATGTTGAAACCGAGGAGATGAAAATCCTCCACCGGTTCGAGTTCCACAGGGTCGCCAAAGAAATTGTGGTGGATGAGGGTTTGGATAGCCGGGTGCTGAAGGAAATGTTCGTTGTGGACAATGAAGCGGTTGTCAACATAGCGATAGTAAGTAAAGTGGAGGTCTGTGTGTTGAAGGAGGTTGTTGTGTATCTGATGCCAGGAGTGCTCAATGAGGGTGATAGCAACGTTGCAAAGGGCTGGAGAAAGCTGGGATCCAATCCCGGCCCCTCGGATTTGTTTGTATGTGTTGTTGCAAGCCCGGAAAATGCATGTGTCGAGGGCAAAAGCCACAATGGTGGTGATGTCGGAAGTCTGGATGGTGCGTTGGGTGGGGTGTTTGCGATGGTGTCTGCCAATGTGGGAGTGGTGGAAAGGATTGCCGGTGGCCTGGACATCCACCGTTAAGGTGTGTGTGGATTGCTGTTGTTGCCAGTGGAGAACAAGGGAGTGGACTGCATCGAGGAGTCGGTGCTGGGGAACGGAGTTGAAAAAGCCGACTAGGTCATCGTTGGTGGCGTGTAGTGAGATGTCGGGTGGGGTTTGGGTGAGGTAACTGTGAAAGTGGTGCCAAAGCTGAGGAATGGACATTTGGCCTGGATGCTGAGGGTAGAGGTGTTGGAGGATAATGTCGAGGGCACGGCTGGTGATGCGTAGCAAGTTGCCGCTTAGTGATTGGAAGTAGGATATGATTGTACGGCCTTTTTGCCAATGCTTCTTCTCTTTAAGGTGGACAACACCGTAGGGGATGTTGAAATCTTTTCGGAAGCCCCACTTGTAGCGGGTGCGCAGGATGGGGGGGGACGGTGGCGGCCAGGTGGTCATGGATGTTGGCGGTAGTGATGTAGGGAAGTGGTTCAAAAAGTTCGGGGGATCGCCAGGTGTTCAAGGCGCCAGTGAAGTATTGGCGAGGGCAAAACAATCGCAGTTGTTGGAGCTCGTGATCGGCATGGTGGAGTAAAGTGTGTTTACCCAAATGTTCTTGGAGTTGACGAAGCAGGCGGGCCGTAAAACGGGGTTGCTGCTTGAGGTGTGTGTTGTGAAGGCGCCATTGGTGCTCAAGGAAAGGCTGTAGGTGTTGAACTAGGGATGGTGGGAGCCCTTGTAGTTTGAGCCATTTGGTGTAGGCCGTCTTGAAAATGAGGAAGTAACGAGCTTTGCTTGGGTAGTAGGTACTGTTCATATTGGCGTTGAGGAAAATGCTGAGGTGTGTAGGGAGTTGAAGTTGGTCAAGTGTAAGGATGTAGTGGCCGTTGATGGTAGGGGTATCGGGATCCTGCAGGAGGGTGCGGAGGTGATCGCATGCACAGGGGAGGTCTGCTGGATCTGGCGGGGAGTGGAGGGTGTCCTCCCATGTGCGATGGTTGTGCAGGTGGGAGCGGAGGGTTTTGTGGGCGGCTTCCCTCAGTCTGTGGGAGGGGAGGTGGAGGGGAATGGTGAAATGCTTGTGCTGCTGGATGGTAGTACGAAGCCATTGTTGGCAGTGCTTGGTAAAGTCGTCATGGGCCAAGAAGGGCACTGTCAATGGGATGTTGGGTTTTGGTGGCGTGAGGTTGCGGTAGATCAAGGCTTTGTTGAGGATGTGAAGAGCTCGGCTGCGGCCAGGTTCTTCCAAGTTTGCGGCCATACGCCGGATTGCATATACCTCGAGGTCCGTGCGGCGGCCGCTTCTTAGCTGTTTTGCTGCCTCAAAAGAGGCTGCGGTGTGTTTGGTGAGGTTGCGAAGAAGTTGGAGAGCGTGATGCTTAGTGGAAGTGTAGAGGTGTGGTTCTCTGAGGGTGTACTGGCGTTGTCGAAGGCGTCGGAAAAGTCGCTTGTGGGTGGCTAATCTGGAGTAGAAGTGGGCTCTGTGTTTCGCGAACTGCCATCCCTGAGCTTTGAGTTTGAGGTGGTGGGAAATGAAAGGCCAGTTGAGTGAAGGCATCCAGTTGGCGATGTAGTGGTGCTCTTGGATCCAGGCTTGGTCGTATGTGTCATGGGAGGTGAGTTGAATAGTGGTGTAGTGGTGGATGTTGTTGTGTGAATGCCAATAACGTAAGGAGAGTTCTGCAGAAATGGGAATGTTATTTTGGAGTTGTTTTAGTTTGGCGCGGCGATTGTGCTCGCGGTGGGGGATGCCGATAGCTGTGGAGCCAACGTAGAAGTGGCCATGTTGATGGTAGCAGCGTTGGGGCTGGTCGGGATTGAAGTGGAGCTTGAGGTAGACGGAATTGGAAGAGAGGAAGTTGTGGTAGTGGTAGGTGTGGGGTAAAATGTGGAGCTGGCGGAGACGGTTGCGCCATTGTTGTGAGCGACGGGTGTTGGACGGGTATGCGAAAAGGAGGGTGATGTGGATGAGGCCGGTTGCAAAGATGGCCTCGGCGCGGTCGATGTATTGTGTGCGGTGGATGAGCATGGAAAGTGCTCGGTGCAGGTGGAAGAGTTGGGTGAGGTTGGTGTGGCTGGGTTGCTGCTGGGCCAAGATGGCGAGTCAGCAACCAATGGCTGCTCCGACTCCCACCAGCTGTTGTAGGCTGCGAATGGGGAGTCGGTTGACCCGGTTGAGGGGTAGGCCATACTTGGTGGCTGCTTCTTTTAGCTGCTGCGTGGTGACTTTGCTTGTTTGCAGCAGTCGGATGACCTCGGTGGCAGCTTCTTGGATGGTGGGGTCGAAGGTAGTGACCCATTGTTGGATCTCTGGGTGGTTCCAGCCTTCGGGGATATCGTCTTGCAGCGTGGGGTGTGGTGGTTGCAAGACGTCGGTGATGGCTGGTGGTTTCGGTGGTGGTGGCGTGGGTGCGTGAGAAGGGGCGGCTGGTGCGGAAGATCGGCTGGTGT